ATCCCTGCTTCACTTGTCTCTGCATCTGGGTCCTCAAGCAACCATACCACCCATTGTTGACAGCAAGCAATATTTTTGAACATACACAACCATGCCTCTCCCTTCAGACCACCCCTCGAAACCATGCCTTCAAAACATGAGCGTGGGTGCTGTCTGCAGCATGTCTAGAGCAGCTGAAGCAGCTGGTCGCTGATCTGGGAGCTGGTAGGGAGACAGGCAGCACTGATGATGCAGAGCGCTATGATCACTGCTCTGAAACAGGTTATTAACGCCTAAATTAACGTAACGCAAAACATGTTTGCTTTTATTAAACTGGTTCCTTCAGTTAGGATTACGTACATGAAAAACGCCTTCCAGCTGCCACTGCCACTGCAAACTGCAAAGAGGCGACCGGGCCATAGTATGCTGTTGAATGGGGTTCCTAGTGACTGAGCAGCTCAGACAGAAATAATATTTGAAGGCAGGATGGTAATCTGGATGAACTGACTGCATTGACCATGTTTTTCAGGTGGACTTTCTCACTTCAAAATAAAGTCAAACTACTTTATTCCCACTGATCACAGCAAATATAGCTGCCATTGTTCCAGGGAAAGAAAGAATAGGGTAGCTCCACCCAACGCGCAGCAGACCCACTTTTTCCACCGCACAGTCAGAGCAGCAAAGATGCTTCAGCTGTGTGTCAGAACTAAACTTGTACAGGCATAAAAAAATCAAGCAGCACGCGCGTTTTTTTGCTGCTCTTGCTGCATTAGGTGTGAACCTAGCATAGCAGTGGCTAGCTTCAAGCCATTGCATCCTGCATGAGCACTGGGGGGTCGATTCAATTATGTGTCAAGGTACGCGCACAGGGGGGAGGGACAAGCAGACGACCATGATTGACATGTCAGGAACCAATCGTGTACAACGGACCATCTTTTGTGATTGGTTGAGGTTATTCTTTGATTTCTCGCTGTAGCGGGGACCATTTATTTTAGTTTCACTTCCAGACCTTTTATTTCAATGCTTGCTAAGCAGCTGTGGCGAGATCTTTAAGCCACATGATGAAAAATGTGTCAGAAAAGATCTCCTACTGCACCTTTAAAGCATCAAAAGTAGAGTTGTCAGATTTGGTCTATAGTGCCTGGCAGTGCAACTATAACCAGCATTCACTGCTGAACAGAATGAGCAAACTCACGTGTTTTCACTCTTTGCTTCGAGTGGAGGGGCAGGGCCCCTGGACTGGCCCAGAGGGTCGAACATCGAGCCTGGAAAGGAATTCATCTGTTAAGGATTATCTGCATATGAAATAGAGATGCTAAGGCTCACTTTGCCCATTCAACATTTATTGCAATCTTAATGGTAATATAGGGACCAACCACAGCACATCAGAAAGAGGTAAACACCTCTTCTGTTTAAACTCACCACGCATCAGTGAGGAGGAGAAACCTGCAGCTGTGACAGCAGTCATCGGACGGGCAGCTCCATCCTGTTCAATGGAAATTGGCCATACAATAATGAAAATAACAAAACAAAAAAAGAAACCATTTTATATACATAAAAAAATTTGAATGTGTTATCTAGAAAAGAAAATATAGTCACATCTACCCTAATGGACATTTGAATGGTACTAAACAGCAAGTATGAAGGCTTTCATATGATGAATCCGAACATAGACCTTTTACTCAGGTTACAGGTGTTTTTAGATGCATATGTAGATGATTGACTTCAATCTGTAGAGCATAGCTTAATAAAATAGATATAATATAATCGAAGCTGATCATTTGTTAACAAATAGTCACTTTCCTGACTTAAGAAGGCAAAACAATTTCGGAAGAGTTAGTATTGCATGACAGAAAGCCTTGTAGATCAGCACTGAAGGTGAAAAGAAACCAACAGATGTTAAACTGATCATGCTTATCTGGTTTCTTCCTCTCACCTGCACAGCTCCAGTCATGGGTCTTCCCAGTGATGAAGCCATTGGGACGCGGGACTAAATAATAGAACACACAGAAATGTTATTGTTTCTGTTTATTTATGTGGACAGTTTACATGTTTGTTTGGGTTTTTTTCAATCACTGTTTTTATATTTTATGAAATTGAGTAGATTGTCTTTAGCTGCACACATTGTTCTCCAGCACTTTGTCTGTGCAACTGGCTCTAAACTGAGTTATCTTTAGTTGTGAGCCTTTAATTTCTGAAGCAGGTGGGAACAGAAATATTTGGTTACAGGCTTAGGGGTCAACCCCAGGCATTAATCTCTCTCCAACTCATTCATGTCTGATATTCCTCGACTGACTCCCTTTGATATGAAGGAGCAGTTACTCTACAATGAGCTCCCTGCAGATGAAGGAACTTCTGACCTTTTCTCTAAGACTAACCTTAAGTAACACAACTGAGAAAGTTCAGTTCAGCTCTTTATTCATTTATCTAACACAATAGAACCTTTCTGCAGATGAAGTTTTCCCATATATCCTTCCTTAGGTAATTCAAAAAGATACCATCGCACTTGAATGACAACAGATGTTGATTTACAGATTATTTAAAAACATTTTAGAAAACAAGCTAAGTGGTATTTTCAAACATATATTTTGTTAGCATGTTGTACTCACCCCAAAGGATGATGCTAAAGGTCGACCTCCAATTGCAGTGCCTGGAATCCTCGCAGTCATCTAGATGATTATTGACAAATAAGTTCAAACTGGATTATCCTAGATGAATTACATTTTGGGGGGAATTTCTATAATATAGTAATTTAATCTGTTGTTTCAAATAGGAAATTTGAAATTTCTACAAATATAAAACTATGTAAAGGAGCATAATTTAAAAAGAAAAAAAAAACTAAAAAAAAAAGTTTTATTGACATTTTCATAAAAAAAACAAACAAACACGTAAATAAGTATTTTGGCCTGAAAAAATCTGCAGAAAATTTTCATCAGCAATTCAACAACAATACTTTTATAATTTCCAGGCATGATTCTTGACGAAAAACTTTCAAACACTCTGACTGAGATGTCTCTGTAAAGTGCCTTGAGTGAATTGGCACCATATAAATAAATTGAACAGAATTGAAAAGCTGATTCCTGCTCCGGGTCCTTCGGGATGGGAGGCTCTCTTACTATAATCTTTAATAGTTTCACACTTCAGGCGGAACCACTACGAAATGTCAAATATTATTTTCAGAAAGATGCTACATAAATAAGTATACAGAGAGTGGGATCTTTGACTCATTCATCTCTGCACAGGCTCTTTAGATCGCTCATGGTCATGGATTTACTGTCTGTCCCTTTCAGATGATCAGTCAGGCTTTCTAGGTCTAGAGACTACAATTTCCATGGAAGATTGAGTATTTTTAGTGTATATTAAACGACTTCTGTGCCTTTTTCAAATTCATTTTTTGTATCACAATCGTTTTTGAAAGACCACTAATGAATGATCTATTTTCAGTTTACTGATAGAGGCCACCATGCTGTTTTAGATCACAAACACCTGGAAATGCTTGTTTTCAGAAAAAGCTTCATTTTTGTTTAGTTCACAAAGTCTACGTAGTTGATACGACTACGAGTATTAGGGCGAGGCTAGAGATTAAATATCTTTTTTATTTTGAGAATAAAGTTATAAATATTATGAAAATAAAGATATAACATTACGAAAATAAAGTCGTAATATTATGTAAAATAAGTCATCACACAACAATGCGTTTCAGAAAGAAAGCTTCGAGGTCCGACCAGCATGTGAAGGCCGACCAGCTTCACCAAACAGCAACCTGAGTTCACTTTGACATCCTGCCCAGTTTGATGCTAAAAGATTTCCCTATTTGTCAAACCAGAGCCAAAGTATAACTTCACATGATGCTCGACATTCCTCATTTTAGGGAAGATAGTGATTCTTGTAAGAATTACCGTATCATAAAATACATCTTTATTCTCAGAAATTAACTATTTTCATTGTGACTTTCTTCTCTTAATGTTACGACTTTATTCTCGGAATTTTACGACCTTATTCTCTTAATTTTATTATTTTATTCTTGTAATTTTACAACTTTATTCTCAGAATTTTAGGACTTTATTCTCAAAATTTTAGGACTTTATTTCGTAATTTTCCGACTTTATTCCTGAAATTGTATTACTTTATTCTCAGAATTTTATGACTTTATTCTCAGACTTTAAGGACTTTATTTCGTAATTTTCCGACTTTATTCCTGAAATTGTATTACTTTATTCTCAGAATTTTACGACTTTATTCTCTTAATTTTATTCTCAGAATTTTAGGACTTTATTCTCAGGATTTTAGGACTTTATTCTCAGGATTTTAGGACTTTATTCTCAGGATTTTAGGACTTTATTCTCAGAATTTTAGGACTTTATTCTCAGAATTTTAGGACTTTATTTCGTAATTTTCCGACTTTATTCCTGAAATTGTATTACTTTATTCTCAGAATTTTACGACTTTATTCTCTTAATTTTATTCTCATAATTTTAGGACTTTATTCTCAGGATTTTATGACTTTATTCTCATAATTTTATGACTTTATTCTCATAATTTTATGACTTTATTCTCATAATTTTATGACTTTATTCTCATGATTTTAGGACTTAATTCTCTTAATTTTATTATTTTATTCTTATAATTTTAGGACTTTATTCTCTTATTATTTTATTCTTGTAATTTTACAACTTTATTCTCATAATTTGACGACTTTATTCTCATAATTTTACGACTTTATTCTTGCAATTTTATAACTTTATTCTGAGAATTTTTACAACTTTATTCTTATAATCTTATGACTGTATTCTCATATTTTAACAACTTTATTTTCAAAAATTTTCCAATTTTAGTTCATAATTTTTTACGACTTTATTTAATAATTTTACAACTTCATTCTCGCAATTGTATTACTTTATTCTCATAATTTTACAACTTTATTCTCTTAATTTTATTATTTGATTCTCATAATTTTACAACTTTATTCTCAGAATTTTATGACTTCATTCTCTTAATTTTATTATTTCATTCTCGCAATTTTATTACTTTATTCTCAGAATTTTATAACTATTCTCGTTGCGACTTTCTTCTCGAAATAGAAGAAAAATAAATCTCTAGCCTGGCTCTAATACTCTGTCGTAAGTTGCAGCATAAGTACATCAACTTAAACAAGGTGTAAAAACAACAACAACAACAAAATGCATTTATTTTTTTAAGGTTATATCCTTTAACTATTAATTATGACATTATTATATATTTTAGCCACAGTTTGTTTAACTCCTCCCTCCCCCTTACGTACTCCAATTAAAGTTAATTAATATGAAATCAACTTTTGTAAATAATCAACTGGGCATCCGAGGAATTTAAACCCACATGTTGAACAGTATTTATCACATCACTATTGTCAGTTCTTTAACATTTTCTTAGAATGCAGTCTTTTCTTACCGGAGGTCTTCTTCCATAACTAGTCCTAACTGCCTGCTGGAAGCCCACATCGTTATCCAACTCCTTAGAAAAGCCACAATAAGTGTCATTACATATCATTATACATCAATTATACAAACTCCTAGGTGCCAGCAAAATAGTCAAATTTTATCCTTCTATATATCATACGTCACTTTAGTTTTAGTTACAAATTTAGCTTAACACAGTAGCTTAGCAGCATTGATGATTGAAGCTAAACGCTTAGTAACACTGGATGATTACTCACCTCGCATTCGAATGCGGGATTGTAGTCGTTGTAACCCGAATAAAGGTCATCCTCCTCTACTGCCAGATGCACATTCTCCATTTTATTTCGCAGAATTTGGGCAAAAAACGGGCAGCTACTGGTGCATAATAACAAAAATGTTTGTTATAGTTAAAGCTTTCTCTCCCACAATTCAAAGCGGCATGGGTGGGAGGGAAACTCTTTTACAGCTCCTGATTGGCAATTCATACATCAATCATCATCTTCTGCTGATAGGATTGGATATAGAAGTCGTTCACTCGTTGCTAGGATACGCAGGAAGCTACGTCGTCTTTTTATTTGTCATTAGCTCAAACATTTCTCAAAATATTTAACATTAAAGAATGAAATTGTAAGAAAATTGAATATCCTTTTGCACATTTGAGGGTAGTTTTTAATAAGAATATCAAATCAATTTAGCTTTCGAAGTTAAAGGACTAAATTTGTCCATCTTGGCTACCGTACTTGTTAGACAGCGTGACTCTGAGGAGGCGGTGCAAAGAAATAAAGAGTCTTCAGTCTCTTTTCGCCACTTTAATATCAAATAATGAGCACTGCAGAATTGAAGACCATCACCGTGGTTGGCAGGTGAGCAAAAACTGAAAAGGCAACATTAAATTATCAATTTAGGGTTTTGTTTCAGTAAATGAATTTTATCTAGTGCCTTCTCATACAACACATAGTTGCATAAATGCTTGCAAATGTTTGTTTTGAATGGAACTTTTAACGCACCTCTGAGTTGTTTCTCTCACATTTACAGCATTAACTCCATGAAACCCATTTTATTATTGACGTTTGCAGTGAAACTGACCAAATGTCTTTCCTCTGTGATCCCTTTCAGGGTTGGCTTACATTTTAACCAATTTCCTGTACCCTGATCCGTAATTTTGTGCTGTCAGCTAAACACATTAGGCCTCTGGTGACCTCTCTTGACCTGTAAAGTAAACGGAAAGTCTTTAACTGAACAGTTTGGAGCAATGTTAACAAGATCATTGGGCAAAACGTCGAATAAAGATTCAAATGGCCCTTTGTAAAAACAAATAAATAAAACGTTTTTGTTATAAGATTCACAGTGCTGCACTCATTGTTACAGTCATATTCAAAATTAGCACTCAAAAGTCTAAACATAACATCAACATGAAGGACAACAATCTCTGCAGCAATCCACCAATCACAGTTAAGCATGGTGGTGGTTGCATTATGCTATGGGAATGTTTTACAGCAGTAGGAAAGGGAAGACTTATCAGGTTAGCAGGAAAGATGAATGCAGCAATGCACAAACATCCTGGAGGAAAACCTGCTCCAGAGGGCTCCGGTGCCGCTGGAGTCCAGACTTGAGATCTGAATATGGCTGCATAAACATTTTCCATCCAACCTGATCATGGAGCTTTAGATGTCTTGCAAATAAGTAAGGGCCCACCTACCTAAACGTACATGTGCTACGGTGTGGCATCATATTCAAAAAGATTTGAAAATGTAATTGCTATAAAAGGTGGATCAAGTTTTAAGCAAAGGCTGTGATTACATGAGTAAATGTGATATTTCTGGTGAAGATTCTCAGTCATCCAGGTTATAGTCATTCCAAGAAAGTTAAAAACAAAGAAACAAGCCACTGGACTTTGTTTCCAAGTTCGAAGATGCTTCGCTTCCCATCCAGGAAAGTGCATGGGAAGTGAAGCATCTTCAAACTTGGAAACAAAGTCCAGTGGAATTTGATTTATTTTTCTGTCTTTAATAAAACTGTTAATTCCACATGCGCTATATTAGCTTTTTGCATCTTTTAGACATGATCATAGTTTGCAGAAAGGTTAAAAAAAGATCAATAATGATCTAATTATACATCAGTATTGATCAGGAGAATAGTCATATTTAATAAACTTTAAAAAGTAATTCCTTTCATTATTTCCAATTATTATATGGAGCAAATTTTATAGTGTTATGAAATAACAACCATTATTCTCAATTCTTCGTTTGTTATGAGGTCCCACTTACTGAACGAAAAAAACATTTAAGATTAAAATCTAACTGAAAGAAAAAATGTGATTGATACCTACTTAAATGTACCTTTAATCTGACAAACAAGCCTTAATCTGAACGTATGTTCTTATTTTAGACTAATATGAGACCACGTATTGGTACAATGAGGCTAGCCAACAATAAATGCAGACAAAAATGGGCTAACAAGCACTACGGCTGCTTGATTTTGAGAAAAAATATTGTAAGCTCTTGCAATATGTTTTCGATTATATTGTTTATTACAATGAACCCACGTTTTAAAGACTTCTTTCCACTGTTTTCTGTGAGGTTTAGCATCTCAGACTTAAAAACATGCATCTGATTTCATCCCTGTAATTGATATATTTTTGTTACGCAGAACATGATTAATTAGTACTTGAAACAATGATATCCTTACAAATATTGCATCCAAGCAACCCTTTACAATTAAAATATTGGATCCTCTGAATTTAGAAACAGCTGATATATTTGGATTGGGTCCTACAGAGTTGGCCGTTCTGTGCGTATTCTGAGCGGCACACATGAAGTATGCAATAGTTTAGAGCGCAACTCCTTTCTACATTCCTTCAGCTCCATGTTGCACGTAGAGCAGTTAAATATGATATTTTTTTTCCTATTGAGCACAATTTTCGCTCAGGATGCTGTATCGAAGGACATGTATGCAAACATCAAGTACACTCGACCCTGTTGGAGCCTTTAGAGCAGGAATCGGCAACCTCTAAAATCCAAACAGCCATTTATTCTTAAATAGTAAAGCACAGCTTATAACTTTTGTTAAATATCATCTGTTGGAAAGCTTTTGTAGTTTTAAGCATCCAGCAGTTTATTTATCATAAGTAAAAACATAAAACTCTTCATAGAAAGAAAGCATGGATTTGTTTTCTACAGGATATTTTTAATGTAAAGAGAAAAACAGATCATTTCCAAGCCTGTGAGACGGAAAATAGACAAACATGTTTCTGGTACTTTTATAGTCATTCTGTTGTGAAGATTCACTTGAAAAACTCTTTCAAAAACCAGCAAAGCTTCTAAGTCAGGTATCATCTCAAACCTCATCGCCATGCTGGGGACCAAAACATCTCGCCTGGTCAGCCAGGCCAACAATGACCCTAAAGACCCCTTTTTCAGAAGCATAGGCCAGTATTGAGTATTGCAGGCCAACAACGACCTCAGTGACTCCCCATTACTAAAGGGTAGACCTGTTCTATCTGTTCAATTTGCATGTTTTCTAAGCCATAACAAAGCTTTGTTGGGTTAATCTATAAAGCTTAGAACTCAACGCTATTCCAGACATTTTGAGTTGAAAAAGCTTCCCGGATGGGAATTGAAACTTCTTCAAACTTGGAAAACTTTTTAAAATTTTGTTGGAATCATGTATGCGCTATTAGACTATATTCAGAACTATAATTTAGTATAAATTATCAGCCACCAGAGGGACATTGTGGAGGGTCCAAAGAGCCACAGGTTAAAGACTCCTGTTTTAGAAATGGGGGAAAAATGACAAAAAACTATTTTTCTAAAGAAACCATTCTTACCTGGTAACGATTTTTTGTTACAGTTATGTTTGTCTCTATGTTTTTAAAACAAGGCAGCCATATTGGATTTTCAGGTCAGAGTTGATGTAAAATATGAATCTTTATCTTTGAGGCTGAGCTGACTTTCTTTCAGCGCTTTTACCACAATTGCATAAAGATGCAAAGCTAATAGTGCATTTTTAAATATCTAAACACTTACACGGTACTTGGAAAACAGGTTTTAAAAACTTACATACACAGTTATCTTAAGTAGTTTTCAGATGGATAATAGAAGAAGGAAACATGGAAGATGGCAGACAGACCGATCAGTCTTAATAATAAATTC